AAATGGTGACTAAATTGTTTAAAGTGCAGTTGGTTTCACGAGGTTTGCTGGAACCTGGTGATCGTGTCTAGGTAATAAAGGTCTTACTAAGAGTATGTGAAACATTGTTAGTCAGTTCTATGTAATTGACCGGCAAACAGTCGATCCCCATTGCTACTGAAGCCATCGAACGGCCAGAAACATATCACCGTATAAATGACAACTTTATGTTCGGAGTAAAAACACAACCGCGCACAAGCAAGGAGATCCTCAGCCCAATTCTGCAGAAAGAGAGAGGAATTAATAGCCATAAGGCTATCTTGCGCTATTGCCCTGGCCTTGTTCGCTACTACATGTATTTGAGCTTTATTACTTAACTGCATTTTTGATCGAAAGCCTTTTCTGTTTTCTGTTTTCTGTTTTAATACCCTCTTTGCTGTTGGCATCCTGGGGGACAGGTTCAATTCAATTTACACCATATAGGACATTTAGATACATTTTATAAGTAAAGTAATGAAACTAGTAAAAAAAATATATAGAGCCGTAAAGAAATAAAATTTATATGTGAGCGGTGGCCAAAGTAGCAAGAACTTTCTTGTTGGCCACCGCCATGGTCAAGTTAATGGCTAAGCTCGATCTGCATACACTACATTACATCATACATACTCTACATTTACACTTATATAATAGCAAAATCAAACAGCAAAGTAATACATGGCAGCAAAATCAGATTTGATTATTCAGAAGGTGGCATTTGTACTCTTTGCTCAGTTCAGAAGTCTCTTGAAATGCCCCACCCACATTCCAATGAACCTGATCACCTCTTATTTCACATCATTAGGTCCGGAGTCAAGTCAGCAACCGTTCTCTTTCCTTTACTTGGCATTACGTGGCTGTTCGGTATTTTAGCACTGGACACTAAGACCATCGTGTTTCAGTACTTCTTTGCCATTCTCAACTCTTTACAGGGATTCTTCATTTTCATATTTCACTGCCTGCTTAATTCAGAGGTAAGGAGGTACTAAGGGTTCTTTCTTTTCTCAGCATCTTGCATGAAACTGAACGTTCATTGTATTTTTAAGATTTGTAATTTGCCTCTATAATTTCTCAATCCATGAGTCATGTTGTAATGTATTATGGATATAGAAACACGCTTAAGTAAAGAATGGAATCATACAACACTTGGAAATGCATGGAAAAGTAAAAGAAGCAGACGGATACTTCTCGTCTGCAGAGTCCTAAAAAGATTCCGAAGCTTTATTTTTTCGAGATTCTCAACATGCTTTTTGTTCAGGTACGAAAGGCAATGCAGCGAAAGAAAGAAATCTGGTCCAGCCGTCGAACTTTCTTCACGCCTTCTTCGACCATTCCTTCGTCGGCTGCTGCTGCTACAACATCTCATGGGGCTACGCTATCGGTAATCATGTTTAATATTTGCTATGTGGTGCTTACGCTAAATACAGATTATTCCACGAGCGCGCATTGGATATGGGATGGTAATTAAATAGCTATAATCATCTCATATCCAACAAGGGCGGGTGGAATAATTGTTTAATTAAAAACGCCTCCAACATATAGAAAAATAAAATAAAAACAAAAACGCGCCGAAGAATTACCGTACGCTCGACCGTGTTTGTAGAACATGGTGGCTCATATACCACGATGACTAAGTCAATGAAAACCCTTGAATTGCGTTATCCAGTAATCCACTTTAGTAATTGTTCATATACTATAAGCCAATGAAAACTCTTAAATTGCATTATCCATTGTTCCAGTCTTTAATAATAGAGTGTATGTTAACTTATAGACTACGAGTAGTCCCTCTAGCTTTCCGTCGAGCGTGACCGTAAATACACCCGCGAGGAAAAATGCCCGCGCGAAATTTCGCGCGGTCATTTTCGTCTTGTGATTTTCTTTCGCGTCATGCACGACGGACTAAACGAAAGAGGGACTACTCGTAGTCTATTTAACTTATGTCCCAAAGGTTCCAGTTTTTTCGACAGGTTATCTTCGGATAAGTCACACTGTTAAACGTAGTATATTCAATTGTCAGTAATTTATACTTCTTTTGCAACAATTAAACAATGATGATGATGCCGCCGCTGCCGTTGCTGCTGCTGATGTTTCTGGTACATTAATGACCAATGCGCTTAGAGTCGACTTATGTTTATGTATTTTTAAGGACGTGAACATGATATCCCACTCTGATGGCCCCACTAACAGCCAACGCGCCGTGGATGGTGATAATATTGAATGCAGTCCCGTGTCCGAAAAGAACGCTCCTCACGAATCGGACAAACAAGCAGACGTCAATCCTAGTGGCACTTGCCCAACAGCCAGAGAGCACTGTCCAACTTGGCTTTCCAAGGAACCAACCGAAGGATCTGCAAAAATTAAACTGCCTCCTGTGACGGTTCCAGCAAATAAGAAAAGAAAGCAGAAACGAGTCCTAAACAAAAACCCGAAACAGAACAGAAAAGGAAAACTAACTACGGTTATAGAACCATTGCAAGAAGAAACTAACGAATCGAATGTCAACGCGTGAGAAAGATGATAAAACGTGATTGTTGTTTAACATCTACCATTCTGCAAAACATGAAAACCCATTTGAATGGCAGTGTTCCTTTCGGGGATAATCATTTAAAGACATTGTCTCTTTCACCTTTGTATATACCTAAATTTTACTCTAAAACCGGTGGTGAAATGAACTGTGACGTGTCAATTTATAAATAATACACCCTTATTTATGATCCTGAATACTGGGAAGGTTCTCCTTTTTTTTCATCTTTTCATTTCATTAAACTGCCAAAGAGAGAGTGAGTTTCACCTGTACATAATTTAATCCTGTCTGAACGACTTGTAAAATGGCAGAGGAAGTCAAAATATTAAGAAGAGAATACTATTTTCTTTACGCCTAATAAAGCAAAAGAGCTTAGTGCAAATCTCGTTCGAGCACCGATCCCGGTACTTGTTAAATGTTTTCCGCGAATGCCCTTCTCTCTAGTTTCAGCATTTATTTTTGGCTCAGTACATTGTTTCAGTGCACGCTACCAAGACAATTTTACAATCCCTTTATTGTGAATCCCTATAACAGTGCTAATTCTGATTTAGCTGTCTGAGTGTGATATGTTCTGGTTATCGATTGAAAGATATAAACGTGAACAGAGATTTGCAGGTTTACCGTCAAAGTTCGATGAAATTGAAAAATGTGCCATGCAGGCTCCTCGATAATATGAATTCGACGTTTAATAAATGGGAACCCCGCCTGACAGGGGTCGTTTAAGGTTTTTTTGACGGAAACAAAACTCCTGCGTTGGGTATTGCATATGCTATGTAAACTAGATTTGCCCTGACTCAAAGGCCTTCATGCATTTGTAATGCACAAGCCCTCAAAAATCACTCCTCTTTACCACAGTCGGCCGTTAACACCAAGTAATTTGACAGCGTTTCGCACCCTCAAAACAATATTTCATATTTAATTACTGAATTTATCATCGAACGCATTAAAAGACTGTTTTGTTTCTCTTTAACACTATGAGCAAAAAGGCTAATTACGAGTGCAAAACCATTCTATAGGGGCCAGTGGTCGGTTACCCATGGGACTTTTTTGTTTTGTAGTGCGTTCAATGCCCTTAATGACTCCGCATCCTAATGACAGCCTGCCTTTCAATAGCATCCTAAGCAACCATTTTAGCATCTCTGTGTTCATAGCAGTGTTTTTAAACCGCTTTATTAGCCACCATCGTGAAGGTAAAAGCGTCACAAATGGCTTTAAATAGGACGAGTTGACCAGCTATGGAATAAATCAACAGGTAAATTTGACTCATTTGTTTTGAACGTCCAAATCAAGTAGAGATTTTGTGCCTTAGCCTACGATGTGTGGGGTTTTTTTTACTGAGAATGGTCGGCGAATATTGGTTGCGTTTACTGAAAAATGGAAACCGTCCTTCGTTTTTAGAAGTAACGACTAAGTGACCTTTCCCCCTTAATTCACATCATTCAATTATCTCTCCGAGTTAAGGAAAGATGAAAGATTCTCAACAACAATTAAATTTTTAAGACCGTAGGAGCACTCGTATTATTCATCATTTGGTTTGGAATAAATTATTGGGTTGACTCAGTATTATATTCAGAGCACCATTTGTAGTCTTGGCTACTTAATTCAGTTCGATAGTGAAAGAGTGTGAACTTTAACTGAATGTGAAGAGAAACGAAGCAACTTAGCAACAAAAATCCTTGTCTAACTGACTAGAGTCGAACACATGACCTTTGAGAAACCGGTGCAATGCTGTGGCAGCTCGCCTTTCTGTAATTGTTCTACCTGTAGTTGTAATACTAGGGAAATGACTCTATCACTACAAGTCAAAGTTCTTGTAGAAAATGAGACTATAAAATGAAAATGTTTCAAGTCAGAGTGAAGTGAAGTTCATTCATCCCAGTGAGCGAAAACGGTTGCCAAGACAGACAAGGGAGACTGTTTATAAATTAAAGCTGTGAAAAGAGAACCTGTCTAAGTTCTCTTGGAAAGACTTTTGATCTACCTTTCTGCTGGAGAATCATTCACTTACGTTAGTTTGACTATTGGCTACCTGGTACCGGTCCAAACAGAAGGGAGGTTCGCCTCCAGTAAATAAGTAAGTAGGTAAAGACTTTATTTAAAGAGGGTTTACATGCGCTAAATAGCCAAAGCTAATAAAGTTGTGGCCCTCTAGATCAAATATTGAAATAGTTAAGAGCCTGCATGTTGTTGACGAAAACGTTCATCTCACATTGCATTCTTGAAAGATTTCAAAGACTTGACAGTCAGGTCTACAGGAAGCTATAGAAACCGAAAGCGAGCTATATGCAATGATCCGTAACCTGTGAGTGTTCCGCTGAACAGTAAAAGACAAAAAAAAAAAA